ACCGCTCTTAGCTCCTATTCTGGTTTTGTGGGTTTTTTACCAATCAAAGAGATTCACGCTAGGAAATTGTGAAAAAACGAAATTTAATTTTTAGTGAGTAGATAAAAATTCATTTATAGCTGAACTAAAGATTGTTTCATATATAGATAGTTCTAATAACACTGATTTTTTTTGTCTCCCAATGTGACTGAAAAGGATAAATAAGCAGCTGGCACCACTGCTTATGGGCAGTTCACGTTCTGTTCTCTTGTGCTGCAGTCTTCCTGAACCTTTAGTGGTTAGTGTTACCCTACCTTTAGTGAGTGACATAGGAGTACAACTTTGGATACTGTTTAAGAAGCCAGTAAATAGATTTTTTGACTCTCAATCCAAGAGGAACATAAAAATAACTTTGCTGAACTCCTGTGTTTCTTGATAAAACTTAGGTGCAAAAATGGTGGGGTGTCCCCCCTTGTGTTTTGAAATTGATGAAATGAAATATCCCCAGTTGTAAGTCCTGAGAAACCGCTATGGTTTTATTCCTACTTTCCTTGGAATTCGTTGGTTCAGTGGGAAAAATTAGCATTACACAAGTACTAAGAGACAAATGCTTTTCCCTGATTCTCCTCCCGATTTGTGAATTTGTAGAGTTGCTTTGAGCCATATCTCAAGTCTTTTTTCTGTTTATCTATAAAATGGGAACAAAAGAAAAATCTCTTAAGATATGGAGGTTTGTGGGTGAAGAATTCTAAGATCCAGATGTAAAGTGAAGAACTACTTGCTGCACAGGAACAGAGAAATAGATAATTCAAAACAAACTAAAATATTATTGGTATTTCATTAAGGGAATTTTAGCCAGGATTTATATAGACTCCTTAAACTAGTCTGCTAGGGAAAACTCTCATTTTCTCCCCATGTATCGAACCCGGATGCTGCATTTTGTTTTCCTCAGACTACAGCAGCAGTATATTACTGTTGCTGGCAGTAACCTTATTCATTGCCTTACGTCTTCAGTACACACATCCAGAGAGATGTGACCTTATAACCCTGTGCATGAATGGTTGAACTTAAAGATGATCATTGTCAGGTACCTCAGCAATCCTTATCATATGTATGTCTGAGTCGATGCCTTCCGTGTGTTTCAGAGCAGATCTCCATATGATGCTGACTGCTGTAGATCCTCAAAGACAGGGTAGAAACAGATTTATGAGTTCAGGAAACCTAACCTTCTTGTATTAGTAGCATTGGTCGTTTTTAGGCTAACTAGCTGTTACAGTGTTAGATCTGTCCCAGTAAAGGAAAAGAGTATTTATTGTTGTCAAAGCTTGTAAGAAAAATACTGCTTGGAATCGCAAGCACAGTAGAGCATGTACAAAACAAAGCACCTTGACCAAAAACTGAGTTTTTGAGTTTTACTTGTGCCCTCATTTTGCTGCGCTGAGTAGCAAAATGTAGTATTTGTCATATTTTCAGCAGTGTCACGTGAACAGTCATGTAAGTACTACACTCTGCAATCTCAGAAAAAATAGCTATGAGTCAGTCAATGTCATAGAAAGAACTTTAACTGAATTTGCATTTACTACTGTTCTGAAGATGCAGGAACAGTCTGGTTTTATTGCAAAATACTGCATGCCTTCAGCATGCTTAGAATCTGTGCAGACAGGCTTTTTGAGAAGTCAGTTGCTAGTCATGTTACACTGTTTATTTCAAGAGTTTTAGTATTTTTTTTATCCAGTAATTTACACTTTATTTCTACCTGCTTGTCAGCAGAGACAAGTTGCATGATACTAATAAATAACTTTTTGGCCAGTAACACTGTGATCTTAAATTCTCAGTTAAGAAATACCTTTACTTTTTGTCTACATACATTGCACTGTGTAAATCATGTATATTATAAACTCAAAAGGATATACAAATTTATTCTTTATGCTGGAAGCACAAATGTCATCACAGCATACTTGCAAAGAGCTGACATGTCATTAGTCCAGACACCAATAAAATCAATTGCAGAATAGGTTCCAGGATTGGGTGGGGTACTTTCTATCTTTATCTGTGCTGACTTCCATTGTTCTTGACCTAGATTTACATTAAACATATATAAATGCCTTGTACACATACCTCTTGCAGAATTTTATTTTCATACCTTACTACAAACATCTTTATAAACTTGAACTTTCAAATCTGCTTGCACATGAAAATTCTCAGTTTTGTCATGTGCATGAAGGCCACAGCTGTGTACCCTCTGGCTTCAGAAACTGATTACTGGTGTTTTTGTTATTTTTTTGTCCTGACATCAGCTCTCTTCAGGTACATGTTAAATACATATTAAATACTAGCTGCTTATTATAATGCTATTATGTGTTGTCTGCTAAGCATTTGTGTGGCTGCATACCACAACATGAACAGCTATTCCTTACCCATAATGTGCTTTTTATAAACCATTAGGTCTGTTTACAAGTGGAGAACCTGAATCACCTCTCTTCAATCTTTAAAAGCCATCCTTTGTATCTTCTCCCTTGAGACTTATAATATTGTTAGTCTGATCTGTTACACTTGGTGAGTATTCAGTAAAAAAAAAATGGGAGGTTGAGGGAAGAATGAGTTCCCTAGTCTGTAGTTACAGCTGGAGAAGACTGAGTCATCGCTTGTGTGTGGAGCTACATAGGATCTTCTGCTGGTGGGTGGTGTACTCAAGGGTGATGACAGTTATTTTCAGGGAATTGTAGGGACTGTGGTAGTTGCAGTTCTTGAAAGACTTTGTGACTTTGAGAGGCAGAAGCAAAACTATTACACCCTAATTTATTACTCCTTATTCATCTGCCAGTGGACCCTAAGCTCTAGCAGGTTCTGTCTTAGGGTTTCTGGTATGTTTGACTGGGTTATGAGTGTGCTTTTGCAGGTCAGTGTCTGTGGGTTGTCCATGGTCAGCTTCCAGGTGCCTGGCCAGCTTCCAGGTGCCTACCCAGCTACTCACTCACCATCTCAACAGGACTGAGAGAAAACAGGGTGAAAAACCTCCTGGGTCAAGATAAACCTCCTCCCCCTGTGTTTCTCATTTTTTTCCCCTTGTTCCTTATTGTTAAGTGGTGTTTTGCCCTTCCTGAAATCTGTTTGTGCAGAGGTGCTGTAGGCGTGGCTGAGGGGCTGGGCTGTGCCCTGTGGTGCAGCTGCTGGAACTGACCTCTCACCACAGAGGCCACACAGCCTCTCCTGCTGATGCCTCTGAAATACCTCTCAGTACGCCATTTTGTGAGCCCGCTTTTAATTGTTTTTGAAGGATG